ATTGCAGTCTACTCAGCAATTGAAATACCTATCAGCTGAGCACTGCACCACTTTAATCTAACAGCTGAACACTGACTTAGGTGCATAAAAATGATAATATAGTGCTAATTGTATCTCATATTTGTCTGTATCACAACGGGGGCTCAGCGTTTAGTTTTCGGTCCTTTTCTCACACCATGCAACCAAACACCAACATTTTCGTCTGTTTGATACGCGCTGTTCGACGTTTTGCGAATATGTCGCTTTGGGATGTGAAATACTGGTTCACTGTCCGAATTACGTTCACTGAATACGATCTGACCAACACTGGAAACAATGTACGCAATGTGTCAGCATGATATTTTGAAACCCAGGAGCAGCAAATAATATTCAGGAACACTTGACAGTAGCTTCTGTACAGTAGGATAACTTTTTTAGGTTGCGATTAACAGCAGTGTGTATATGCTCTTTTAGTACTTCATCGTCCGCATATTTTATTGAGCATACCTTAACATTCCCGGTGAATGCTCTGCCGAGGCAGACTTATGTAGCCCTTGTCACAGGAGAGTGAGAGCTATGCAATTAAGGCAGAGGGAAATAATGGTAGGATGCCATTAGGAACGTTGTGTTATTTTGTAATCGCGTTGATCTGTATCTGCTATCGTGCCATGTCTACTCTTTTTGCAGCTTTTACTACTTCCACTGCCGCCTTGGTTGATATCCGTCACTTCATACAGTTTTGCTGGCTTTTTGTATATGTCTCAGGATGTGTTAAGGAGGAAGCATAGAATACATAAATCATTCATGAATGACAGTGTTTTTTCACCACGCAATAGTTAGCAATTTTCTCGTATATCCAAATATTGAAAATGTGTCCCCAGATCAGGGAGAAGTCGATGTTGTGATTCCCCCATAGAAGTTCTATCAGAATAGACCTTTATAAGGTGAGCACTGATATCAGAACTACTGTTTTTTCTCGACTGTAATATGCGGCCCAAAATCAGCAGTTCTTCCTATGTATTCGCTCATTCAAAAGTGTTCCGAATCCCCCCAATTACCGAATTCATATGTATAAACAGACATTATGTGTCATCCTATTTCAAAAGTGCAATCAGTATATTTCCATCATTCAGTGTGATCAAATGGTAGAGCATATGAAACATTCTGCGCAAGCGAGTGAGTCAATCATCAAGATTTCCTGATACAAATTCTCTCTACACCTAATTTCATTCAACTGATCTCTTGGAACTGGTGTGCTCTTCCACACATGCAATACTGTCGAATTTATAGGGGTACTGTAAAGTAACTTTTTATTTCATCTCCACCACCATTTTAACTAGTTCAAGACGTTAGATTTAAGCGAAATTCTACTCTCAGTTTTCAAGAGTGAACCGATGATGGAATGCGTTTAATCTGTTGAATAATAATAATGTTCTCGCACGGAACAACCATGCAGTGGCAAATGGCAGTCTTGGCTGACGTGGGTGCAGTAAAACAAATCTGCGTTACAATAGCCAATATTAATCTGCGCCCAGCACAATTCACATTTGAAGTTAATTGCAATAAAAATGATGAAAAAATCATACAAATAGATCACTCATTTTAAATTAATACCCAATTTGAACACTAAACAAGATACGATGACGCACACAACTAAGTTATATGGAGAGATTGACTTCAAGTTTTATGTTTTCCCAAATATTTGTAATCCATCAAACACATACTTGAGTTTTTTGTTAATGCGAAGACAATATTTCTATGTTTCTTAATGTGCTCCATTGAACGACTAGCTATCAGACTGTGCACATAAACTAATTTCAGAGAGGACAGCCGCTTTCTATTCTGCACCTTAAACCAAATTCAAATGATGTAAATGATACTTATCCATGCCTGTACAACTGGTGTGTCCTACATAGATAGGAATAAATACATAAATGTAAAAAATTCTTTTACACGTCAATATCATAAATTACATATACAATTAGTAAGCATATTTAAGGATATTTAATAATAATTTAGTAAAATACATTTTTTCTACTTATGTAGGACAAACCAACTGTACAGGCACGGATAAGTATTATTTAAATTACATGAATATGGCTTATGGTGAAATTACATAGTTTCTGTCGTTTTTGTCTTTGGTTTGCGGGAACAATCTACTAACAAGTGATTCCATGGAGCACATTAGGAGAGATAGAAATATTGATTTCGAGTTATCGAGACCAAAGTATGTGTTAGATAAATTACAGATACTTCGTAAAAAATTAGGCTTGAAGTCACTATCCTCATGTAACTTTGTTGTGTGCTGCATCGAGTCTTATTCTTGATTTATATCCAATTCGTGTTTTAATTTAAAATAAGTGATACACTTGTATAATTGCGTCAGCATTTTCATCGTGGGTAACTTCACAATTGAATTGTACTTAATACAGACAAATAATAGTTTATATTTTCTTATAAGGTTTGCTAACCTCACGCCCAATCTTCCCGTTTTTATCGGCCTCGCTACTGACCTAGCGAGGTACGCAGGCCAGGAAATGAACCCACCGACGCAAGTTACATGTATGAGACCTCAGATTACACTAGATATCCGTGTCACTGTCCGGGACGAGACTCACACAGTTTAAACCAGTAGAAGATAGTGGGGGATCCTAACCACAAGGGGGAGAAATATGAGAAATAACGTTTGGACCACTTCAAAATAGTCCTGTACCAACCAGCACCAACAGCCAAAGCAATGCTAGTTAATAGTGATCCTCAAACTAAAGCAGACGTCTTGAATGCTGTAAGGCTACCGAAGGCCTGAGGTCCCATGGGGATAAATCCAGATGTCTCAGTACGTTGCCTCACGTCACTATTACAGACCGTATGGAAAGGGAGGAAAGACACCCACCCAATGAAAGGGAGGCCACTCCGTCAAACAACCAACGAAGGGCTTAAGGCTTTGCATAAGGCATATGGCAAGGCTGCACCTCAGGAGATTCAGTGCTGAAAGCTCGGTGAAGCTCCCGAAGTGGAGTTGGGAGTAAGACAAGGCTGCCTACTACTACCGATGATAACCTTGACACCTAAAGGCACATAGGTATCTTTAATCCTGAACACACTAGAGTAATTCAAGGGCTATCTAGCTGCTAACTATTGAATTCTTACGGAAACGAATGCGGACGTTTTCTGCCTGAGTTTACTGCTTGTCTTCAGCTGCTCCTTATCTATTAGCATACGTGTTGTGAAAAAACTGAAGGTTGATGTTGAGCATGGATAAGTTACACTAAAGATATTCAGGAAAAAGAGTCTAGCTTGTGCTGTTTCTCAAAGTTCACTAGGAAACTTGGTTCAACCTGGGATACAATAAAAGTACACTAGCAATCGAACAACATTTTACTGCCACCAGATAAATTTTTACTTTATCAAATACTCACAGACACAGAAGAAACTACGAACGAAAGGGCGATGGATAACCTAGCTGGTCTTCTTTGCAAAGCTATGTCAAAGTGCTTGGCTTAGAACAGCACCGTCAGTTCTTACTGAAGTAATTCAGGAATCATGACCCCATTTAAAGTAAAATGAACAGGGAGGCTAAAACTGGTGCTTCTGCATGATTATTCCAGATTACAATTAAAGGGGGTGACCGTTCAAGCAAAGGACTCCACGCATATGAGGAATGTAATTGATGATTCCCAGTTGATAAAATAAGTTGAGCGTCGTGTCATGGAACTGACATATGGTCAGAATTCATCAACAACCAGTTGGAAACCTGTCATCTAGGTAAAACCTGTTATGCGGTCCTTCAAATATAGGAGAATTCAGTTTGCATCCTTCCCAAAACCGCCTAAATCTTGGGAAAGGATACAGAGGTGTTTCTATCATTAACTGTAATCACCCACATTTAGTTGCCATTTGTATACCTCTAATTATTTGACACAGTAAAACATTTAATATGTTAGGGATCCACTTGTCAATGTCACTGAGGTATATCCAGCTGGGTCATTTATTTAAAATGAATACACACAGAGATTCCTTGGGGAATATGGCAGTCGAGCTGCGTATAAGCTGAAACTGGAAATGTCCAAGCAGTGGATCAGTCGCGGTGCCCATTTAATGCCTGTACACATACTGCTTCTTGCTACATGTCCCACATGGTTACTAGAGGTATAATCGGATTTTCTGGTGTAGAAACGTAATGCTTCTAAATCAGCATAACATGCAGTTTCTAAACTACATGTAAACTCATCCCGTCATTTATCAACAAGTTTGATCACATAAACATATAAACTAGTCTAGACACACGAAAAAGTTGTTTGTTTCTGTTGTAAGCAACGTCTATAAATTGTAGCATCATAACACCCATAGAAGTGGAAAGAATATTCTAATTATTGTTTGTGACTTTTGAGTATGTTAACAAGTCTTGTTATTAGTTACCACAGGTATGGTGCTTGTAAATCATAGAGACAGAAATTACATTTCCGCGGTCTAGCGGTTTTGGAGCTACACTAGGATACAATAATAGTGACTGATAATGTATAGATTACAGTTTGCGTGGTGTAATCACAGGAGGATTCATCTTTCTACCTATGATGCATACTTCACACGCTTTTTCCCATTTTTATTTCCTGTTCAATTTCGGTTATTCAACACTTGAAAATAAACTGAATGAGATATGCCAGTGTGAAATCACTGAATGAGATTGTTAAAATTTGATGAATAGACACTCACCTCAGACTCCAGTATTTGAGACTATTTCAGATTGCAGATATTTTGATTGGATAAGTCAAATCACCTTCAAGAATGACAAAATCTCTTTACAAATCGTACAACAAGATCGTATGCAGACACACTCACGAGCAGAAACACAAAAACACGTAAGAGTATAAAGGATGTAAATTTATATTATATAAACAATCTTCGCACTTATCAGTCGGAAACTCAAAATCATGACAATGACCTATTTGATAAGCTCCATATTTCTCATAATTTCTTATTACACCGTCGATTCATTGGTGCCAAGACCACTGAAGAGAGAAATGGGTGAATCGTTGTGTAGTGTGACCGACCTACTTTCAATTGAACATGATTATCCATACTGTTACATACTCAGCGAAGCATTGAAAGTGTTCGACAAACGTCTTCTGAACATACAACGTTCGCCACGGGCAAATGGTGATGAGAGAGTATCTTGCAGCATCAAGACACTAAGTGTTGTCATCACAAGTGGCTGCGATGAATCAGAGAGCAAACTTTGGCCTAGTGAACACATGGATGAATCACGTAGGTTTAATTCTGTTCTTCAAAATATACATACATAACTAACGAAATAACCACTGAAGACAAAATCAGCATATTGGATGGGAAGATTCATATTGAATCTAATGAAGTATGGGGAGTATTGCACGCCTTGCAGACTGTCATACAACTGGTACACAGAAGTGAATCGGGAGCTGTGAGTAAATTGAAATAATAAAAATCTCATGTTTCTCCACATCTCAATAACCAATTCACTTAGCCCGTATTACGCAAACAAAATATCAAGGACTCACCGCGATACGGTCACAGAGGATTTCTACTGGACACTGCTAACCATTACATTAGTGTTGATGAGATAGAGAAATTCATTGTAAGTCAATCCAATCCATTATTCTCTTACTTCTACTTCACAATCATTCAGGATACTATGGCCGTCGTTAAAATGAATGTACTTCATTGGCATATGACAGATGACTCTGCATTCCCCTATGACTCATTCACATATCCTGAACTCTCTAGAAAGGTAGTTTGTTTTTCACATTTCCCACATCAGTTCTGTCTGTCTCCCTGTCACATTGCAGGGTGCATATGATCCACAAAAGTTAGTTTATGAAAATGGTGATGTTCAACGGCTGTTGCAGTTTGCACGTCAGCGCGGGGTACGTGTGATCGTGGAATTTGATACTCCTGGTAAGTGAGTGAGGAGCTTCACATTCTGTGTTGCATTTGTTAGTCAATTAACACTGTGCATGTTTCACATTGGAAAATCTCAGTTCACTGGATATACACATTAGGTCATAGGACACATTAAAAAGACGGTTGTAACAAAGAAAATTTTCCTGTTAATGAACGCATCAACTAGGTTTTACATTTGTGCATTTATAGTTATTCGATGAGAAAGTTCCGGAACTATTTCCGATCAAGGTTCAAATTAGTAAGATTTGAAACAGAGAATAAAATGTAATAATAATAGCAAAATAAACAGGAAGATTAAATAGAATACGTAGTAGGGCAAGTTGGGTTGAAAAAAGGTAAGAATAACAGATTAACGGGTAGTTAGGATAATCATTACTGAGAGAACTGAATATCTATGATGGCCATATAGATACAGAGGTTGAACGTATTAATTTTGAATACGTAGTGTTGGCTATGCTTGGAAGCCTTTATCTCACTCCCTTAGAGGACTCTGGCTGAACCTTGTGTACTATTCTGAAGTCCTTTTATTTTGTTACAAAAAACAGTGATACTGTTTCAGCGTATGCGTCTTATGGTCAAATAATACCCTCACATTAGGTGTTCCGCGTTACTCGTGGTCTCTTAGTCTTTTGATGACTCGTTTTGAATTGATAAATACTTCATTAATTTGAACAAGAAGGTTCAGTGTTCACTGTGTGAATTTCTTCCCCTTTTGACATTCAGCCTATTCGCTTTTCGGTCAAAACAGTTTGGTATTACTGTCTAACTGATCTTCAGGCCTCCTTAAAAACATAAGTTCATTTGCGAAGAAAACTCAATTCTATCCCTGTTTTACTGATTTCAGGTCACACAAAGTCATGGGAAAAAGGTTATCCAGGAATACGAACAGAGTGTTATAAAGACGGTAAGCCGACTGGTGAAAAGGGTCCATTCAATCCTGCAAATGGAACCACATTTGAATTTCTGGAGGCGTTTTTCAAGGAAGTCACGTCAGTATTTCCAGAAACGTTTGTCCATTTAGGTGGGAACGACGTTTTGACTTCTTGCTGGTAAGATTTATGTTTATCTGTTCTTAAATGAATGTTAACAGTAACATGAGTTCATCGGCATTCATGATTTTCCTGTGTGTTTGTTGTTTATCAGTTGACTGAGTCTATAGTTTGAGATTCTGTATAAGCAGTAGCCATATCTTGAAATTTAAATGGTTTATCCATATATAATAAATGAGTGAAATGGAAAACTCCTGATCTCACTCCTCTAAGCTGGATTACGACTAAAAATCATTAGTAGTGCTCACTGTGGTATTCAAAACACATCTACGCCCTTTAATTGGTCCACTGTATATGAGGTGTCAAGTATTAATTGAAATTGAAATTCCAAACACTCTTGTTTGGAGGAACACTAAAAGTTCAATACTTCTTGGGAAAATTAAACTCTACAGATAAAAAAATGACCAGTAGTATCAGCGGTCCAAATATTATAAATGATGTGTAGTGGTGGTTCTTATAGAAAACAACTTTTCTAAATAATACATGAAAAATCTCTGAAGCAAAGATAAGGAACATACATTTCTGGTTAAACGAGGGCAATGTTTTATATATCTACAATTCGATGTAGGCCTACTAGTTGAAGTATTGTGAACCCGTGGCTGACCCACTTTTGCGTTCGCCTAGTGGTGTAATCACTCGAAAGTGACCAGTTATTAGTGCTTCTGTTCAAGCTGAGTGGTATAATGTTTTTGATAGATTTATTTTCCACATTACCTGTAACCTGACTCTATAACTCACAATTCTAATTTTCCACTGTTTATTTATGCTGCATTCTGTCAACAACAACAACAACAACAAAAACCACATCCAAATTACTTTGCTGGTCTTCACTTTCTCAAACTTTATTGAGAATTGTCATCCAATTATTTCGCCGAAGATCTTAGGAGACCATCAGGTCTTAAGCAGCATGCCAGTAGGATCCATGAAATTGCAGTTTGGTAGTAGTTCTGTGTTCTTTAGCTGACAATAACCAATCAGTGTATTTTGATCACCTTTAAATATTTCCATTTTTAATATTAGAACAGGATGGCTTACGAACACCTCAAGATGTACCTGTACAGATGACTCCCTAGAAAATGAGTTAGGATACATCCAAAATACGCTGGTCTAAACGGTTATCCTGGTAGATTCGTAAGGAGACACATGAACATCAGGTACAATAAAGATGAACTCACGACAGTTGAAAAGAAACATCTGTTCATAAAATTACAGTTAAGTGCGGATGTGGCTAGAGAAGTCAACATCTGAGATTATTGAGAGCGATAAAACGGACTTATACTGCAGCTATTCTTTGTTTGTCAGTTTCCAGCCGACCAATTTTGATTGCTCAAGTGAAAGATAAGCTACCTAGCTGTGCCACTTCTATGTATATCTACAAATTTAGTTGCTCCTGCGGAGAGAGCTATATAGGGCGAACAACTAGATGGCTTAATATACTCATTAATGAATTTTTTCCTTCATGGTTTGAAAAAGGTCAAACGAAATCTATAAGAAGTTCTATTTTGTCTCATTTGATTGATAGCGGTCACCAAGCGAACAAATATAGGACCTTCAAAGTTATCTATCGCATTCCATCGAGTTTTTCGAGCGGAATCAGAACCCGTCTTTTGAACTTCGCCGAAGCTATGGGAATTCGAGAGAACAATTTTAGTCTTATTTTCATTTTTATTCAGTTTTTTATTACAGCTCGATCCCATACTGTATTTTTGATACAAGTGTGGAATTTTCAGCATGGATATCGGCAGCCCAAATTTTGCAGGCCGACCATAGATTATTATAGACTATTATTATTATATCAGGTGTGCGTCGGCAGGGGTTCAGTCTTCGGACCGTGTGCATGGTGGGCGAGAGTCCTAACCACTGTGGCACCGAAGCATACAAAAGAAGTTTGTTCCAGCTTTGTTTATCCCTTGGCCTAGATGAATCCTATTCAAAAATTTCCCACCCTTTCTTGTTTTCCATCTCATTCGTACTTTTATGAAATTTATTTAAACTCTGGTTACCTGTCCACTTGCCCTTTAGTATTACGTAACTTTTAATATTTGACCTAATTTATTTATTAAATTGTCTATATATACATATATTAATACCTTTGTTATTCTTATTGCCACATGCATAAACCTTATTATCAATATTTTGTTACCATTACAATCATCGTTATTAAATACGTATATAACATTTACCACATTATTATTATTTGATCCACAAAATCACTGTGACTGGTTAAAATTTTTTATACAAATTCATACAAATTAGAGTAGGGTCTGAAGAGGATCTAACTGAAAACAATTTTGTGAGCTTATAAATCTTGTTCCAGTATTTGGATTAATACACTTTCCATCACACAGTCAAATGACACACTGCCTAGGATTATTTCATATAAATTGTTCTGACTTATGCAAAGTGTGCTTGCTGTCATTATTCCATTGTCTTCCCCTTTTATATATATCCTGTGTCAGTGAAAATTTTGAACATGCTTGCTCCATGCATACATCATCATGATATTGATGATGCCAGTCAACTGGAGCCCCTCATGTGCATAAAGTGAGAATTTATTACTATAAGGTGAATTTTATTGTTATAGAAGGGAATTGACTTCAAGCTTTGTTTATTTTCTTAAGCAGCTGTAATCCATTCAACGAATACTTAGTTTTTTTGTTAGTGCGAGGTCAAAATCTCTATATCTCTTGATGTGGTCCATTGAATCACTAGTTATCAGGTTTTTCTCACAAACTAATTACAAAATGACAGCAACCATGTAATTTTGCCGTAATTCATGCAATTTAGATATATAATTTAAATAATACTTATCCATGCCTATACAACTGGTGTATCATACATAGGCAGGAATAAATACCTAACTTATTATATTATCATTACTAACTATGCTTACTAATCGTATGTGTAATTTATTGAATTGATGATGCCTGTAAACTGGCGTGTCTCATGTACACAAATGAGTATATATTATTAGGTTATTTTCCAACTCAAATGTTTTCTGATATCCTTTAAATTAACTGCTACTGATCACTTTGTAATATGTCTGAAAGTTGACAGGAGAGGAAAATCACACTGGAAATAACAGTGAAGGGGTCATTGTTATAATTTGTAACTGAAATATCCGTTATTGTTGTATGCAACAATAGGGCTAAATAAGCAATGTAGAACGAAGTATTTTCACACCAGACAAAATCTTTGAAACTGTTTTTCCACAAAATAGGAAATCGAATCCTGATATTTTGAAGTTTATGGAGGAAAACAATTTCGGTAGTGATTTTGGAAGACTTGAATCATATTACTTTGATCAACTCACTGAAGCCATTCAATCAGTTCAACCAGATGGGCACTCTATTACACCAGTTGTCTGGGATGGAGTGTACATGGATGGGTATCGTGTAAGTAATAATAATATATATATTTCAAGAAAATTAAGTATTTACATGATTCACATACCGTTTGTACAGGCATGATCATATTAGACAAGTGCAGTCTGAAATTGTACACTGTTTTATGAAATTAAAAATTGGAAAATGACCTCTAGAAACTTTATAAGAATGGAATACAAGATTTTGGTTTAAGTCTAAATTATAATATTTAATATACTCATAGTGAGTCAGATTCTTGCGGGAATTATGAAATTTTGCGTTAATAGAAGGTAAGAAGAGAGGTGATATACAGGTGCTAGAGTAAGACACACAGGATTCAGACCCTGTTATTATCATTTTATCAATCAATAAGGGTTCGAAAGTTTATAAAAATCCACATTAGATCGTAAGTATAGCATTGTATTGGTATTAGCAGGTACAAAGGACCAACTGATCGCAAAGTTAACTTTGTGATGTTGAACAGAATTCAGAATGGAATTTGTTCCGTTGTTCATCTTAAGTGCTGACAATATTCTGGATACCGCTCAAGTAATACAAATGTAGAAAGCGGCATTACTGTTCATTTGCAGTACCTTTGAGAAGTGAAGAAAACAGAAGGAAACAGAGACAGCCAGCAGATAATAATAATTTAAGCGAACAATATGCGATAACCGCAGAGTTTATTCTCCTTTTTTTAATACTATGAAATTTCTAGTCATTGAGTTTTATAGTGTTACACACTAACGGTTAGTTTAAGTTTATAGTAGTAAACAACAACTAAAGCATAGTATAACAATAAAAAAGTAAAAATTAGGGCAAAACAAATGATGGTTTTCACTCTTATAATAATAATAATAATAGTATATTCTCATTTTGTACATGAGAGACGCCAGTTTACAGGCATCATCAATATGATAAATTACATATACGATTAGCAATCATAATTAGTAATAATGTTTTAATAAAATACACATTTTTCCTACTTGTGTAGGACACACCAAATATACAGGCATGGATAAGCATTATATAAATTTCATAAATTTATATAATGCTTATCCATTATGTAGGGTGATGTTGGGAATAGAAACTGAAGAAGTGGAATCCAAATGTCAAAGTACATAAGTTATTTAGAAGAAGAGAGGAAGTATAGTAATACTGATTTATGCTGTTGTTCTGATTTATACAGTAAATCCTTTCTCCTTTACAATTATATCTCCATAGGGTTCTTCACGTAGTTTAACACTTCTCACGAGTAGTTAGTGTCTACATAATGTTCTCCATATGGTTTGAATATCTTATCATGCGAATACCTTGAGTTTTATAACGTTTCATAAATTTCAGCTGACCGCTTCAAGGTGTTACGTTTATAATGCTCAGCTCTACGCGGTATCTGATCATTTGTGTCACATTGAGTCTCCTATTCTTAGGGTAACTGCTAACACAACTGATGTCAACCATTACTGGCTTTTTTATTCCCAATGATCATGATCAAACATTTGGTCAGAGGAGTAGCACAGGTTCATCGATCTTCTAATTCTTAAGTAATAATCGTTCATTTGAGCTCCATTAGATTTCATGCTTCTGAGACTTCAATGTAGGTGAATAGTAATCTTAAGTATATTCAGAGAAAAATATTAAAGTGATAGAGCGATTGTGAGTCGAAATGATGCCCTTTACTTGTTCAATAATAATAATGGTATCTCTATTCTGCAACCTATTTATAAAATGTATAGAATTTTCAGAGGAGCTTATACCATGACATTTTTCATTCTTACGGTATCTTCAAGTAAAATATTAACTGATTAAGAACAAACCATTACATTTTTTATATTTTATATACATATTTTTTAATATTTTTGGTTACAGCTTGATTCCACACTGTTTCTTCGGCACAAGTATGGAATTTTCAGCATGGATATCGGTGGCCCAAAATTTGCAGGCCGACGTCGACATCTATGGTACCATAGATGTCAGGTATGCGTCGGCCGGGGATCGAACTCCGAATCAAGTGTATGGTCGGCGAGAGTCCTAACTGCTCTTCCACCGGCGCATACATTGCCATCCACAATCGGGTCATTCCTTGAGTTCAGTAGAAACTTGCAAATCAGAAGCCTGTAAGCATTTTAAATACGCCAGAGAAGGTAATGCCGATAGAGGTCATATCTTAATCAATTAAAACAAACCAAACGAGAGCAAACATTTGCGACAGATGGAAGCTTTTGGTAGCCGAAGTTATGAGCAGGCCCATGGTAGAATGCCTATTTGATTACCTTCATTAATAAATTGCAAGAGGGAGATTTCCTTCGATTTCGGACTGTTCAATTCAACTTTCACACATCGCAGCGATAAATAAACTCTCAAATGACCGAGGTGGAAATGGTCGAAACTTACAAACCATCATTGTATCAGTATCAAACAAAATGAAATTCATTGGTGGGGAAAAAGGCAAAGACAAGTAGACCCCCGTACAAAGATCAACGAAGTGTCACCAGACTTGTGTTATACCATTGACACTGAGTTCCTGACCCAAATAATACGGCTCTCACATCTGACCTCTCTCAGTGAAGAGGTTCTTACCTCCGTTCGTTTTGCATAAATTTAGAACAGTGCAGTGTAATCTGCTGTTCGGGCGAGTTTAATGACATGTATTAAATAATAATTTGTGCGCCAATTAATCACTACTAAAATTTTGTGATTTAGCCTACTAAAACCACTGTGATTCAAGTGTGGAACGGAGGAGATTGGACGGAACTTGTCGAAGGTATAATATCAGCTGGTTATCGAGTTATAATATCGTCATGTTGGTTATTTACTGGCATAAACGGTCCTCGAAGATGGATGGATTACTATGCCTGTGATCCATCGGCGTTTAAAGGTATGTAATAGAGATGAATAATAATTATTACAACTCAGAGAGTTGAAACGCGTTCGCGTTTTGAGTGTTTCCTGTTGCTTCACACTTCATTTATGTATTGCTTTGCCAGCCATATACGCGTTTCGGCGTTCTGTTTTTGGCCGACTGACTCCTTAACCTCGCTTAACCGGTAGTAATTCCGGTTGAGTGGGATAGTTGAGCATTAGAGCAGCAACCCCATCCCTTAGGAGGATAAAAACCATTGCTATTGAGACTTCCGGGATCCAGCATGAAGCCCTGTGATCTACTGGGAATGCAAAAGAATGAAATAAAGTAAACAAAAATACACACCTTTGGTTACTTAACGCTGTCATAATCCCCTAGGAGAGCGGACAGCATCCAACTTTGCTCGGTCTGATGTTTACTCAAATTTCTATCTATAACAAAAGCGAAACTTTTCATTGCTTTTAGTAACCACCACTAGATTTTAGGTGAATGAAAAGTATCAGTGGCACACCGTCACTGCACTAAACTCCCTGTAATTATTTCTCATCCCTCTTCCATTCTTTAAAGACTTCTATTTACTACCTAAATGGTATTCTCCATGTTACTCACGGAAACTCAACTCATTCCTGAAGAGTAATTCTACTTGAATGTCTCACTAGTACATATTCAATCAATGTAGATTCCATTCTGCATATTTTACAAGCATTAGGATTTTGGCTGATTATTTGCACCCGGACTCCCTTCTTAACTTTCTGATAAGGTGGCATGAGCTTTTCTTCTGAGGGCACCCGGTCAGTTTTCAAAGCTTCTGAATTGGTTCTACCTAGTACTGGTCTGGAGATACGAAGATTGAAATCTTGAGTGAGTAAACACCACTATTCTTTGTAGCTCTTTTCGCAACCGATAGAGCGTTTTAATAGTGAAAACAAGCCAAAACCTTTGCAGTTATATTAGACAAGACCGCGCTTGTAAAACCGCCACTTTAATTATGTGAACGCTTTCATTTTCGTATGATATGCATCATTATTATTAATTTGTCAAGATTCTCCATCAATATACTAACAGCTGCCAACGTGTGGACAATTGTCACTTTCCTGTGCCTACTGCAATTAATACAGGTACATTTGAACTATTTACTAGCAATGATGCGATTACTCATCATTGATTATGTAACATTAGGTTGTGTCACATTTATTGTTATTCCTATTAAGTAATTCTTCCCGTTTTTCAAAACTATCAAAGCCGAAGATGAAGCACGAAATCTGATTATTGGTGGAGAAGCCATTGTGTATACAGAATATGTGGATGAGTCAAATCTCATTATGCATTCATGGTAAGTTGTAATGACTACTTTATTAGAAACGTTGAAAATGAGTCATTCACAGATAACTTTCATGATGAATGAAGATCTGCTCTCATTAAAGAGAAGGCTTTCTCTTGCGTAAACGAAGCTGAAAGTATCTTAGAATAGATTGGGAATGATTTCATGAAATGTGAATATTAACATAATGAGGAGTGGTGTACAGACGAAATGCATATATCCATGCAAAGGTTCATTTGATTGCTTGAAATATTTTGGAATTTAGTTAGATCCGATCGACTTGTCACACTTGAAATCATAGTGAAGAAAGCAGTCCCAAGTGAGTTAGTTATGTTGAAGAGTCGTATCCGCGTTGCAATTCTAACCGGCACCGCGAATCTTTCCGTTCACTCAGTCGGTACAAAACTCCCTGCTGACAACCACACCATGGCTAACCTTTGTAGCATCCGTTTATTAAATGCAGGAGTGTGGTAAACGAGAAAGGTAATAATGCACTGTCGGCCAATATGAATCTTCCATTCTCGCCGCTTCATTAACCCTAATACATCGTTGCCAATTAGTGACGGAATTCAACCCATACATTTTGCATCCACACTAGTCGTACAGCAACAAGGAATTCAATCACCCTGAGGGAGATGGTCAGAAAGTTCATATTGTTGATTGTTTTATATATATATTTTTCTCACTTCATTTATCTACTTTAAAAGGCCCGATGGTGCTGCAGTAGCCGAACGCCTTTGGTCACGAGATCCGTTTGTTACTGACGAATTTCAAATAAGATTAAATGAACTACGTTGTTATTTGAGACAGTAAGTTCACACATTAATGTGTTAATAACGATATTATGAAATACCCATTTCCGATATAAGTTATTTCTATTCATTTTGAAAGTATGGTACCACTAGTGTTGTCGCTGTGATGGTTAACTCTGTTGAAAATCCTCCTACAGTTTCACTGCTACACTGAAAACTGGCCGACTGGATGGAAAAATGACAAGTTTAGTTTAAGCGTCACCAGATGCAGCAAGCAACTCTTCTAGGCGCAATTGCTTCACCTGAAATTTCGTTTTCTTAAAGCAACGGTAAATCAACCGCACACTAATGATAATAATTATAAACGTTGACAATTAACCCAATGATTCAACCTATCCCGGATTCATTTAAAGCAGTTGGTTAGATACTTCAGCCTGCAATCTGAAAGGAAGTTACTCTGAATGAATAAGGCTGTAACGCCTGTATTTGAAAAGATGTTTGTGATAAACTAACTTCAAATAGAAGTCGAATATTGGGGTTTCGGAAACATCCGAAATATCCTACGCAAGATGACTACTTAATTCTGTCATCCTCAAGCAAGCGGATTTGAGAAACAGAAAAATGTGATCCTTTTTAATAAATCTACACGAGCATAACATGCTCACAGAATACACGATTGGTAGCAGTTTTCTTGAAGCTAAGCTGTTTATTTCCACTGCTTGATTGGGATAGAAATAACGGATGCACGAATGGTGGAACGCGGAAATGTACAACCCTAACAATTTCTTTTGTTCATAGACCCGATTAGCAATTCAACGCCTGAGGTCTGCCATCCATTCACATGTTTCTGTTCATATTAGTCTTACTACAACCATGATTTGTTGGATGTATATTTAACTTCGTATGGCATTCTGTGGCTTACCTTGTCCTACAGTTAGATACTTCTCCTTTCACAGTCATGTGAATAGCTCTTATAATGACACATTTAACAATAATTTCATTGGAATTCGGAGAGTAGTTTTACCGCCCATCGTTGGAGTCCAAAATAATAGAGACGCTGAAGCTTGTTATTTGCTAATTCACAACCAATTCACTTTCCTCTCTTTTGAATACAGCTTAGGATTCAATGTGAAACCTTTAAATGGACTAAATAGTTGTCTACGACCGTAAGGAAGCACCTCCAATATCTGGACGTCTAGGGAAAACTCATCATTTGTAATTCAGCATTGATGTAATAAAATACACTTTTAAATTGTCTTTTTTGATGCACAACTTGACGAAGTGTTTAACTACGACTCATGCTTCGTCCTATATGCCCCTTATCTCATTCAAGAATAATTCGGATATCGTGTATGCCTTACATAATAAATCCACAGACATTTACACCTAGATAGATAGTGCATTCATTTCATATGAAGCAATCAGCAGAAGCACCAGAATAATTCAATGAAATGAGGTAGGAATAGGGCGGAGATATGGCAGTTTTCGCAGCACACCTGATGTAAACGGGATCCATATTACGATGACCAATATGGACCAGTGCAGCGATAGAACAGCAGAACGTCACGAGTGGCATCCTGTCGTTATTATCTTCCACCTCAATTCCATTATTTTGTGTATATACGTAAACGCGTCGAGTGGAATTTCGCTGGTCACTCACTAGAAAATTCGTCATATCATCTCACACGTGAATTGTGTATAACGGACGGCAAAACCATGCCGTAAGTACTGTTTAATATGTCAATGAGTCTAAGTTTAAAGAGACAACAATGACGTAACTATAAGTCCAGTCTTTGGAACCAGACCAAGACATTTTGTCGAGGCGCTCTTTCTAGGAGTGTAGATGGGGTTTGCCGTTTTATTATAATGATGTATTCACAGAATTTCCTTATGTAGCTTTTGGAAGGTGTATCATATCATATCATTTGTGCTGCGTGTTATCCATTCACTTTGATTATGACGAACGTGACCTCTCCCCTGTCGTCCTAATCAGAATGAGTCTTACACTTTCCTCCTTAGTCACAACCGCCTTCGTACTTCTATGACACATCCCAAAACGATCCTGGATATGATACCCCATCTCCAATTCACCAATCACACAACCTTACTTTAATGCGATAGCCCTCAGCGGGTCAATTTATGTCATTAAGCCTCCTTCACTGGAAATTTCTAGTTCACCACAGCTTCAGATAGACAATTAACCCTGCAGCGGTCGTACTATGATCTCTGTTTCCTAGCTTCTTTTGCCGTTCTCAACAGCCTAAGGTCATGCTACACAATTAAAATTAGGTGTTGAAATGTTTCTGTCAGCCACGTCACGTAAACCGTCAATGCCTAGCTCTTGCTGCACTCGGGCTCACGCTGTTCCTTGAAGTTTCTCAGAAACGCTTAGCAATAACGGACGCAAAAACCAAAACACCAATTGGCGACTCAAGGATTCTTTATTGTAACACCAACATATAAACACTGTTACAACTAAGGTCTGTGAACAAATATTACAATAATGAATCACAATATTACTTCTGACGGTTTTCTGCTGACTTCTTTCTGAACAGCGACCGATGAGACGATGACTGTCGTATTGGTGCCTCCGCGAAAATTGGGGAAGTTGGTTTTGAGCAAACAACCACGAATTGATCGTTCAATCTTCAACTACATTGACAGTTTCAGTGTCACAATTTGTCTTCACATTATCCAAAATAACGCACATTTTACGGACTAACCTATAGAATATTAGGGCGGTTACATTTCACGGGAGAAGAACCAAAGATCGAACACCAAATCTTTATTGTGATGCAGATAAATACTAGGCACAATTGGAATGCATATTATTACTCACATCTAGATGAGTTTTCATGCATTAAATCCTACTTAGACTTCCGTAATTCTGAGGGGATACAAGTTTCAGTTATTGAGCAAAGTGTACTACCTCAACCAGAACCAGTTAGGAGGAATGCTATCATCTCTCCTCTTTTGGCGTAGTTTTGCATGTCAAAGTTGACGTATGGAATTTTGATAATTCCTCGCGACTTTAGCATGTTGTTACCTAGATAATAGATTTATTCCTTCCACAGTGTATTTCAATATTACCACGAAATCTTTTGTATTTTAAATGTGGTGTTAATAATTCTCACAGTTTGATGAGTAGGAATTTGCCCCTCTCTTCTGATAACACAATATGATAAATTTCGGAAACAATAATAAGTATTCTCCTGAAGACGTTTGTGTAGATAGTTCAAAGTTTGAATTCATGGAAGAGTAGAAAAATTCTCTGAATCTTTGTCTTAAATGCGACAAAAGAGAGCAAAGGTGACATGAAGTGACGCTAGGTTTTGTTTGAGAATCTGAAGCATACTGTAAATTAATCTGGCGATGGTGTTTTCACGCTATCCAAAGTATAAATTGTGATATTTTTCTTCATTCAAATGAATAATTTTTGAATTTTAAGATGGTTTGTATATTCGGCACAAAAATTTTATGCGCGTGAGACGTCATCCAGTAAACAACAATGTTGCCATCGCATTGAAACCAAACAAGTGTGGTTGCATCCCACCCCTGTCTTTATGTTTCAGTATTGTCTGACACCAGTCAGCCATCCGTTGTTAGCGGCATTTGTCAATGTCAAAGTCTAACTAAACTGGACTTCACACAGTCCTTAGAGGGATTTCAGGAACTATGTGCAATAACCAACGCGAAAAACCAAAACACAGATTGGTGACTGAAGAACCCTTTATTCTTGTACCATTATAGAGACAATCATACAGTGATTGTCTAGTTCGCTACTCGAATGGTTAAGCTTCGTGAGTGTTCACAGAATAGCTACGGCCATTGTTGGCTACATCAAATCAAATTCAAATCCGCAGCGATGAGGTTTAGCTTAAAGCGTCTTTTCCAGAGGGGTTCTAATCTTAGTCTGTCGCATCGCTCGTGGCATTCTAGACCACTTTCTCAACCAAGAGTTCTTGAGGTAAACTGCTGTTGCACTCCCTCTAATTTAGGCTTGTCACTTTGTCTGAGTCCGCTAAGAAAAAACGGGTAGTAATCTATGATTGGTCGGACACATACTTTGTATAATAAAACCCTAGTTTCACAACAAAAGTAATTGCGTGTTATGCATCCTATCAGCCTTCGCGTTTTACGTCTGGCATAATCAGTCTGTTCAGCGAACGTTAGGTTACTAGAGTATCTAATACCGAGATCTACGACTGAGTTGAGCTTAGCTAGTTTTCGCCCATTTATTTCAAGAGTTAGATCAAGGTTGCTGTTGGCGATACAAATTCAGCCCCACTTATCGATGTTAAAATTTAGACAGGATTCAGCACACCATGATGCGAGACTACTTAGTTCAAGATGTATTTTAGTAACCATATCGCTTAATTCATGAGTGTAGCAGGAGTAGACGACTTTGAGGTCGTCAGCATATAGGAATGGTTTGCCTAAGGTGAAGCACTTGCAAATGCTGTTAATGTAGACTGTGAATAAAAGTGGACCTAGGACACTACCTTGCACAACCCCACTTGAGATCTGCCTAGGATGAGACAATACAGATCCAACTTTGGTTATTTGTGCCCTGTTGCTAAGAAATGATTTTAACCAGTTCAGTAATGGGTTGCGAATTCTACAAAAGTACAGCTTCTCAAAGAGAACACTGAGATACCATGTCAAGTGCCCTAGATATATCGAAGTAGAGAACAACGACTAGCTAAAGTGCTTCGCGACTACTAGTGATGCAGTTGAAAAAGTCGAAGTGGCAAGTAACACAGGATCTATTTTTGAGAAATCCGTGTTGAGACCTTGTAACAAGATGTTCCCTAAGTAGGTAGTCTGACAATTGATCTTTTACAACTTTTTTCATGATTCGTGAGATAACTGGGGTTATATTTATGGGTCTGTAATTGCGGACGTTTGCCTTATCACCAGATTTGTAGTGTGGAATTATGAAGCTAGTTTTCCACTCACTAGGGTAAGTGCCAGTGACCATAGATATTGAGAAGAATTTAAGAAGTAACAAGGGTATATCACACCCACTGTTTTTGAAAATTATCGAAGCTAGGCCATCCGGTCCCGTACTAGTGGAAGTTTTAAGGGTTTTATTTGCTTGTACTATAAACTGATTAGTGAACACAATGCTTTCAAGGGAAGAGATAGTAAGGGGAGCGGTTTCACCAGGCATATGTGTTTCTAAACTAAAGTTTGCAAACCAATCACTAAAGAGTTCACAGATAGTGGTAGGTTCATTGTAGATTACTTTGTCGTGAAGTGAAAAGTGGCAGTTAACGTTCAATCCAGCTAAATCTGGGATAACATACTTCGGACGTTGGAAACCTAGCATGTGTCTATACATGTACGGTGACCTTGTCTCAAACACAAACACAGTCACAGATCTCGGGATAACATACTCAGATCTTACCTTTACTGAACATGCAAATAAGGTGGTATCTGATTGTAAACGTCTAACCGGCTTTGTGCTACGCAACTTTTACACTCCAGAAGCCAGATTAGCCATATATAAGATATGCATTCGCCCCAAACTTGAATACTGTGCCCACTTATACAGTAGCTTCAAGTCGGCAGACAGAAAAAAGGTTGAAAGTGTCCAAAGATTCCTTACGAAACGCATATTAGGCTATGGTCAGCAAATAGAATACCTTGACAGATGTATTCGACTGGACTTAGAGCCCTTATGGTTAAGGAGAGTGAAGTGCAATTTATTTCTCTTATTCAAAGTTATAAGAAAGCACTGTAACAGTAACTCGTCCATAACCTGGGCTAATCCTAAATCGTATGGACTACGCAACCACAACTACCTTCTCAAGGTTAACACCCATAAACTCACCACTAGAGCTAACTTCTTCACCATTAAATATTGCAAACTTTGGAACCAACTACCCTCTGAGATAAGATCCTGTGAAAGGCCTGACAGTTTCAAAAGGAGCCTAGAAAAACATATAAACATGTCCACCCTAGCCCGCCTCAAAGATCTCAACTGCTGGTAGAGTGGAGAGACAATGGCTTTTCAATATTTAACTACGGAAAGTACACTAGTCCCAATACCAATATAATAACACTTAGTAATTATGTAGGTTCAATACTTGAAATTCGATTGTCATTAAAATACTTAAAATGATTAAAATAGCTATGCGGCAAGTGTTCTCTTGCTTTACCATGCT